TTTGCAATAATCTTGCGCCACCCTTGCACAAAACGACGATCATTTTTCTAATTTCATAGATAACAGAAGACTGTATTTTTTCTACATAACCCCCCGCCCCTGAATTTAAAGCTGGATCCGCCCCTGGGTTTGTTTTCATATTTGAAATTTTCTAATATTTATTTACATTTGATCATGCAATTTACTATCGTGACTGCTTTAAACTTAAAACTTTAAACGGACATTGAATAATTGAACTTCCACTATTTAAATCATTGTGACCCTCTCAAAGCAAACATCTAACGTGATTTTCCGATCTCTTTTACATTGAAAATAACTAATGCACATTTTTCTTCCGCCAGTAGGATTTCCTCAATTGCTGCGCTAATGCCGAATTAATAAGGCAATCGACTCATGTATTTGGTCTTTGAACCGTAAAAGGTTGGCTCTTTTGACCTAGGAAAAGTTAATAAAAAACGCATCTTATGCCCGATTAACCTTCACAAAGGTTGACCATCCCTATCAAAGTTGCAAGGATTTTTATCCAAGCCAACCCAGCTCTTAAATGCTGTTAAAAAAATTATAATTTGTATTTTTTTTATAAAACTTTGAACAGCTGAAAGCACACTTCAGCAGTTAATCAATAGTGTAACATTTCCTTGCAATAACGCAACATCATGTTTTCGCAATTAATCGTGCATAATACTTACTTTCATATGCCCATAAACTTAAATTCCTCAAAGCCTCCACATACAACCGGCTTTGATCTCTGCATAGCACATTTTTGCCATCAATAACGCCGAGCGGCAAGTCGGGAAAAATATCCACATTTTGAGCGAAAACTCCAAGCGAATTCACAGCAATCAGACAAAGTCCGAAGCACCGCACGAAGAACTGCATTTTGGTGGTACACGCGCGACCACCACCAGCAAAAGTATTTTGGAACACTAACTTCTTGGCAGCGATAAGAACGGCACTGAAGTAAACGAACATCTTGTAGAGTGGAATGGTTGGTCTTATGTAAAACGGCTGTGGTGTGGACTTTGGCTCTGCAGATTTCAGCAGATTTCAGTCAGCCAAGAGTGGACTGTGTGATTGTTTGCTTTACGACGATTGGGTTTTCCTTACATAAAGGGCTTAGAGATTCCGTAAGATTTTCCAACTCCGCAGAGCGTAGCAAAACAAAGAATCGTCAAAGTAGTTTTTATTTTTTTCAATACAACAATTACAAAATAAGGACCAAGAAACTAACAGTTTCTTTAGCGCCACATTAAAGCATCTAATTTAACCACTAAAGTAGCAAAATCTATCAGCGCTTAAGTACTTACACCTAACAGTAAATTGTTTACATAACTAATATTGCATTGCCTTTCAAATGTAAATCTAATGTAATTAAGTCTAGCATTGTATATACTTTCCTGACTGTGTCTCAATTCCAAATCAAATTCATTCCTGGGTTTCAGTCGTTTATTGTCTCTATTTATTAATGAAAATACGTTTCGGTGTATTTTTCCACCATCATCAGTTTTTATGTGTAGCGTTGTTGCTGCTTTAAGCCTTG